CCAACCCTGATTCCATTAGGTGGAGGAATGCCATGGAGGAGGAGATGCAATCTCTTCAGAAGAACGACACTTGGGAACTTGCAAAGCTACCGAAGGGTAAGAAAGCTATTGGTTGCAAGTGGGTGTATGCTAAGAAGGAGGGATCTTCTATTGCGGACATTCGGTTTAAGGCCAGATTGGTTGCCAAGGGATATGCACAGCTTGAGGGCGTTGACTACAATGAGGTGTTTTCACCCGTTGTGAAGCATTCGTCGATTCGGATACTATTGGCATTGGTGGCACAGCTGGACTTAGATTTGGTCCAAATGGACGTGAAGACGGTCTTTCTACATGGAGACTTAGATGAGGAGATCTACATGACACAACCTATGGGGTTTAAAGCTACAGGAAGAGAAGATTTGGTGTGTAAATTGAAGAAATCTCTTTATGGACTGAAGCAATCACCGCGACAGTGGTACAAAAGATTTGCTAGCTTTATGATTGGCCGAGGATACACTAGGAGCCCTTATGACCCGTGTGTTTATATGTGCAAGCTACAGGATGGTGAGTACATTTATTTGTTATTGTATGTTGATGATATGCTCATAGCTTCCAGGAACACTTCAGCTATTGGGAAATTGAAAAAGGAGTTGTCATCTGAATTTGAGATGAATGACCTGGGAGAGGCTAAGAAGATATTGGGTATGAAGATTGAGCGAGACAGGGTGAAGGGGAGATTGAAGCTTACACAGAAGAGTTACTTGCAGAAGATGCTGAAGAAATTCAGTTTTGAGGGTAATACCAAGGTGGTGAGTACTCCATTAGCTCCCCACTTTAAGCTTTCAGCTTTGATGTGTCACCAGTTTCAGTGCAGGATAGGGACTACATGTCCAAGGTTCCATACGCCAGCGCAGTGGGTAGCTTGATGTATGCTATGGTGTGTACTATGCCAGATTTGTCACATGCCGTGAGCATGGTATCTAGGTACATGCACAACCCCGGGAAGGGGCATTGGGAGGCCGTGAAGTGGATTCTACGGTATATTAAGGGTACCGTGGATGTTGGGTTGATATTTGCAAAGAATGATGAGACAGGGCAGGATTGTATTGGCTACGTGGATTCAGACTATGTCGGAGATCTTGACAAGCATCGGTCCACTACAGGTTATGTTTTTATATTGGCTAGTGCACCGGTGTGTTGGAGATGTACTCTTCAGTCTACAGTGGCGCTTTCTACTACGGAGGCAGAATATATGACGGTGACTGAAGCAGTGAAGGAGGCTTTATGGCTACATGGCTTGTTGGATGATTTGGGGATTGCATAGGAGACCATTCAGGTACATTGTGATAGTATGTTAGCTATCTATTTGGCGAAGAACCAAGTCTACCATGCACGCACGAAGCACATTGATGTCAGATTTTACTTTGTACGTGACGTATTAGATGATGGTGATGTCACGTTGGAGAAGGTCTACACTAAGGACAATCCTGCTGATATGTTGACCAAAAGGTTGACAGGTGAAGATTCAGGCAAACAGGGCGGCGGTCGACCGGTCCGGTCGACCGCATTCGTGCACAAGACTCACTGGGCTTCAGCATTGGTGTCGGTCGACCGGGTCGGTCGACCGACGAACTCTCTGGAATTTTGGTTGGCTTCTGGATGGAGGGCGGTCGACCGGTCCGGTCGACCGACATGGATCGCGGTCGACCGGTCCGGTCGACCGACGCTGCGGGTTTCAGTTGGGTTCTGTTTCCAGACCCGTTTCGTTTGTGAATTGTATTTAAACCCTAAACTCGATTCTAGGGTTAGGCTTGGGCGATTTTGAGCTGCTGAAAGGGGATTTAGAGGGCTTCTATTGTTGGAGTCTATTGGAGAGATCAAGTGGTCTTATTTTAGGGTTTTGGGTAAGATTTGTAACCCTAATTTGTATTCCCTTTTAATTTCATTAGTAAAGCTTCCCCCTCCTTACCCCGTGGACGTAGGCACATTGCCGAACCACGTATATCTTGTGTTCTTGCTGTGATTGTTTGGCTTGTGTTCATTGTGGTCTACTATTGTTATTGTGTGTGCCTTTGATTTGTCTGTTTGGGGCTTCCGCGGCGCACAACAAATAACCCTAGAAAAACTTTTGACTCCGTATAAGTATGGGTGGAAACAAATCGAATCTATGTTTTTTCTTCGATGAATGTAAGAAAAGAAGGATAATCAATGATACATGTATATATGTTAAAGTGCATTTCTAGCTATACGCATGACCAACGTTCTCTTACCAATATTTGCTCATTCGTGTTCTTTTCTTTTGATGAATCTCTTGATGAATGTATGAAACCATGTACAATCAATTTATAGCCTATTTAGGAAATGCAAGTAAGAGTGAGTGAGTCCTAAAAGATTTGCATTTATGTCACATACAAACCATCTGAGTATGCTCTATGCTATATATATTGAAGACAATAAACTGGATTAAAACAAAGAGGAGATAATGGAGAACAGGAGAAGCATAAATTACAACAACTCGTTCGGATATTATGGTGTTTTTCTTGTTGCGTTTTTGTAAAAAAAACACAATGGTGTTGTATTTTTCTCTTAAAATATTTTCAAAACACTATGTTAAGTATTTTTTGTCAACACCAGTTTGACCCATTATAACATTAATATTAAACATATTATTAATATATTATATATTAATTATAATAAAATATATTATAAATAAAATATTATAATATTTAGTCTACCATTATTATAGTATTATAAGTATTAAATGTAATGCAATATAATATTGTATAAAGTAGTAATAATATCATATTATAGTTTAATGAGTTATATTATATTATAATTATTATATATTATTTTCAAATAATTATATATCTAATTATTTTGGTATATCAATTTGTTATTGTTGTATATTATATTAATATTTTTATAATAATATTATTTTATTATTAATATAATATTATACTATTATTATTATTATATAATATTATTAATAATGTTAATATTATGTTATTACTAGTATGTTATTAATAAATTAAATATTATATTTACTATACAATATGTTATTATAATATTATTATTATATTGTTATGTTATTATTAAATATGCTACTATTATATAATATTTTATAATTATTAATTTATTATAATTTATTTATTAAAAAGTTAATAATATTATAGCGATTATACTATTGTATAGTATATTATTATATCATTATTATATTATTATTTATTATCAATAACCTTTTTATTATTTTTTATTAGTTTATTTATAATTTATTATTATTTATTTATTATACAATACATTATTAACATATTAAATATTAGTATTTAATATGTTATTATATCATTATATAAGATGTTTTATTTATTATATTTTTATATTATTTAATAAATATTACTAATATATTAACTTAACCATAATATGCTATAGTATAGTATAATATAATAAGAATGTTGATAATAACTCCATATTAATTACATTTAATATATTATGTTAGATATTATATTAACATATTCTCAAACTCAAAATCAAAACACTAAACTTAAAACACCTAAAAGGTGTTATGAAATAAGTGTTATGTTTTTTGTTTGAGGATGATTTAGCTCAAAAAAACACAATGGTTTCCACACGCATGGTGTTTTGTTTTTTGTAAAAACACCATGGAAACAAATAAAACACTATGGTATCCAAGCGGAGCCAAAGATTTTCGTTGGCAATGAAGAGCATTGATATTGCCGATGAATTGAAGCAGTAATTGTTCTTAGGACTTAGAGTTTGATCCTAAAGCTAATGAATCACCCTACAACAAGCCAAGGTTAAGGGCGCGCTTGGATTTCATGAGTATGGGAAAGGAGTACCCTTTCCCTCTCCATTACACTCCGTTTGTGGGGAATAATTTTTGTGTTGTTGGAAGTGAACTAAGATGGACCGGGGGAACTTTTAAGCTATCCGAACAAGGTAAATGTCTCATCCGCCTTCTCTTCTCCATTGTTCACCCAAATCCAAACGCACCCTATAAGGATATGTTTAGATTTTAATAGGGTTAATAGAAGTTAAGGGAAACTAGAGGCCTGGAAAAAGAAAAAGAAAAAGAAAGGACTAAGGATCTCTCTTTCTCTACGTGTGTGTGTGTAATTTATGAAAAACTTTTTATGAAATTACATTGTACAAGGACATTTTCAATAAACGAAAAATTGATTCAGAGAGTGCTGAATTCTTGTTCTCACTTTTGGGTTTTTTTTTATGTATAAATAAAAAAAATTAGTTTGATATAACCTTAATATAAATTGTTCAATAACTCCTATAATGCTTGCAGGAATTGTGATAATCTAAGAAATGGTTTATAAAAGAAAAAAATGAAACTAAATAGTGAAACTTTTACATAAGATCATGCGTATATGTGATCCCTCATCAAATAAATCTCACCAAGGGCTCCGGGGGAGGAAAAAAATAGGTTTTACTTTACATAACCCGCTGTAAAGAAAAAACACTAAAATCGTTTATTTCACATAACTCCCTTAAACTTTGGGGTGTCTCACAAAGCTCCTGGACCTGAACATTTCTCACCATAATCTCAATATGTAATTTGCAAATCAAATTACTAAAATATTATTTAGAGGAAAACTTTTAAAGTATGTCATTTGTCATTTATCAGCATCATATCCCCCCTTCTCAATTTTAACTTTTTTTTTCTCTTGATGAAATTTTAATTATTTGCAAATTACATTGAAGAAAGACCAATAAGAAAAGTTCAAAGTTGATGAAGGTTTCGTGAGACACCCTAAATCGAAGGGAGATTACACGAGATAAACAATTCAAGATGGTTATGTTCACCCCCCCCAACCCAAAAAAATGTTCAGGGGTGCTTTGTGAAACTAACCCTAAAAGAAGCTAAAGCAAACTGTCTATTTCAGTAACAAACATTAAACAGCCAAGAGATGCATGTAAATTGAGAGAAAATAAAGAAAAAGAAAATCAAATAATCAGAAGAGTAAAAGCTTATGGAGGCTTTTAAGAGTCGAGCATATAAAGGTGACAATAAGTCAATGAAATCTCATACCACACAACAATACACGAAGCTAAATTTTACTAGTGAGACTCAGGAAATTGGAAACAAAGTTATTTCACAGGAACACATCTAGTTGTTAACAGTACAGTTCCATCAAAAAAAAAACAAAGCTCTACAAGCTTCTCAGCTTTCACTAGGAGGTGGAGGAGAGGAGCCTTCAGGTGGAGGATCATTGCTCTCATGATTCTCAGGGGAAGACACAGGAGGCTGTTGCTCACCATTTTCATTGGAATCGGGATGGAAATTAATGGGAAACTTTGTGACTCTAGGTTTATCAGCGAGGATATTTCTCTGGACTTTATCGATTATCACTTTTGTCGGAGGTTCTAATCTTAGTAGCTCGTCATCATAGTCATTGTTAACATAATATCCAACTCTTATGAATTCTTGGCCCAAGTATGAGCAGGTCAGTAGCAGTACTGTAACACCTATGATGTCTTCATCTCGAATCTTTGAAGGATCTGGAGGATCTGCCTGAGACGAGTCAGAAAATTCAGTCAAAAATACTATCAAAATCAAGAAGAAGAAAAATATTGATCTAAATCACTAAATTTACCTCGAAGACAAAACGGTAGTTCCCAACATTTACGGGGCCAACAAGAACGCTCTCGAGAAGTTGATCATAGGTCTCGTCTTCAGCAGATCCCACATAGATGAGCTTCCATTCCAGATCTGTGATATGATTGATAAAGAAACTTTAGTTATATCTGGTAAAAGAATCCTAGGCAGTGAAAAGTAATTTCCGTACAAGAGTATAAACTTCATCATTTTCATGAATGGAAATCAAACTAAATTACCGTAAAAAAGAAAGAAAAAATCAACCTTAAACTTTTCTAATTCAACCAAATAGTATAGATGGTTGAGTATAAACTTCATCATTTTCATGAATATAAATCAAACTAAATTACCATTCACATGTCCATTAAATGATTATATTCTTGGCCCTGCATGACGCTTACTTTATCCTTTTTTTTCCTTAAGGTAAAGCTGACAGATCTGAGCTACTTAACCTCTGTCCATTTCACTGTGATGGTAAAGCTAATTACAAATGGAAATTGGTGACAATCCGTTAATGCATGCTGGCTTCGTTGTGAATATGAGTTCCAGTGTGAAATGGGCAGTATTCTCTAGGTTCCTTTGCACCTATGTTGCATTCAAAATAGGTACGGGTGAGGTGCAGGACATGGGAAATTTATAAAAGGTAGGGTACGGGAACACGGCTCATTTCAAAGTAGATAAACAATCCTTTAAAATCATAGTTCCAAATTGGATATGGGCTAAAATGAACACAAACCGTGTCTACAAGTTTCAAAAAGTAGATGTAAAGAGTAGAATATACATCCTAGAAGAATACGAAAAGTGTTTTAAATTAAAATATGTATTATATAATAGAGACGCATGCTAATAAATGTATGCATATATTCAAGGAGTGTCCGTGTCTAATACATATCAGGTATGGGTAGAGCTTCATGATAGAAATATCCGAGTAGCATAGTTTCGCACTGATTGGTACCACGACTGGATTGCAATTAGGTTAGAAAACACTGGACACGAGAAGAGAAAGCACCAAATCATGATCTAGATTCTAATTTGTTGGATGATTATAGGAAAGTTACAGCATACCCTGCACATTAGTATCACTGGGTTAATTGGCTAGCTTCTCGAATACATGCGTCAAAAATAATAAGTAATTTATGATATAAAAACACAAAGCATTAATGCAAGTTCAATTCATAAGATTTTGAGCCTATGCCAGTAATCTAGTTTACAAGAGAGCCCCTATGTTCTCGTGAATAACAAACCCACGTCTCATTTCTTTGCAACATTTCAATTACGGATGAGTGAAACACTATTTTATATTAGTAAAGTGACCTAAAGTTGAAACTGTCACTTGAATCATGCCTGAGTAGAGAGATAAGAAACTAATTCAACCAGCCTCTTCCAATAATTTAAAAATATAATATTCTCCTAACAATGCACTTGTTCTCTCTATATTGTGCATAAGGAGTATACTCTAAAGGCAGATCTCACAGGTGCTAAATAGCTCATAAAAGCAATAATGAATGTAACCATAATCATCAACTGCTTCCACCAACAACCCCATTCACAATAATCCTGATGCCATAGTGCAGCACCTTGTTACAAGCAAAAGTTGTTAACTAAAGCTAATGAATAGAAGTTCCATATGTTTCTCGTAAAACTCTAATGAGGGTTTACTCTTCTTCTTCCATGATTACCAAAAAATCTGATGAACACACGATATTAATCAGCATGAATCTATTGTCTAAACTGGTTCAACTTCTTGATTGAACTAGTTCTAAGCATCCAGTCATTAATGTTTATAAATAAAATAACAGATATTTTTTAGTAAATAGATTACTGAAAGAAGATCGAGAAACGAGAACACCAATCAATTGCATGCAAGTGCTTTTCAAAATATAAGACTTGGGTTGTTGGGTCAGAACATATTATGAGCACCTGGTTCACCACACATTTGTGTATTTCAAATACCCAAAGGGTGGGTCAGAACATATTATGAGCACCTGGTTCACCACACATTTGTGTATTTCAAATACCCAAAGGGAGCAACCAGTGGAAGTCAAGGTATAGCACCTGGTTCACCACACATTTGTGTATTTCAAATACCCAAAGGGAGCAACCAGTGGAAGTCAAGGTATCAACTGGTATAGTGACATAGGTATTGAATCCTATTTGCTTACAGCCAGGTTGGTAGCAACCAAGCTAGTAACAGGTCACAAGCATGACGATGAAGAAAGCCTCCCGACCAAAACAATGAAAGGTTTACTACTTGCAAAACTATCCGCTGATAATGAAGTCAACGCTGTATGATTGGCCAAAGGAAAGGTAAAAACAATCCATCAAGCTGGGATGCAATAATTGACAAAATCATCTACCCAAATAGGGCATAGCTAACAAAGTCAACCAACAAAAACTGATAAGCACAGAGTGCCCTGTTAATGTGATAAGCACAGACTTGCATATGCACTAACCATGAATAGGCCCGTGTATGGCAAAGAGGTCATTAGAAAATAGACAAGTTATGCCACTACGCAAACTAGTACTTACCTTAAAGCATCTCAAAAGTTGCATTGTTGAATTAAAAAAGAATAATAAATGAAGGAAATGGATCAAGTTTCCAAATTGCACACTCAAGACATTTAATAAGTTGTTCTGTAAACAAGTATATGATACAAATATTATGCTATGGGCAACAAAAAACCCACACAAAGATGACAATGCAAATAAATAGACAACAAAACAAAATTAACTCCTAGAAGGAAGGTCAGTAGATGTGAGTCAAGCAGGTAGATCAATATCGCCAATGCAACCAATATAACTACATCAAAGAAACTGAAGTTGACTCAGTCGTAAAGACTAGATGTGATGTCCAGAAGGTTCTAGGTTCAAAACCGAATAAGAAGCTAACTTCATCGTTAGCTCGCTTATTGCAACAAAATGGGTATTAATGGATCTAGGTTCAATTAGCCATAGTGGAAGCATGACTTCTGCTTAGAGCTGACTTAAGGAAACCAAGCAACGGTAAGATATAAAGAATGCAACCAGAACTCAGAACCCTTACAATTTGCTCATCAATTATAGATTCGATTCAAATGCTAAATGTTTGGTTTTTCATTCTGTTCAAATTAAAAAGTACTTCTACGTCAATTGCCCTTTTCGTTTCAACTATTTTGACCTCCAAAATTTAATCGTCTTACTTAACTCCCAAAACAAGCAACGTAATGCCTAGTGCGATTAGATATTGCTACAGTGCAACGAAATGATCCACAAAATTGATGTTTTCGCAATATCTGATTAATTAATCTTTAACATAAACATTGAGGATCTTACTAGTTCCTTTAGGGCTTGTTTGGATGGATTGAGAGGAACAAGGAAGAAGGGAAGTTAGGAGAACCATTCACCTTGTTTGTGAACATTTAGAAGGTGAAGTTATTCACCCTAGTTTCCCTAACTTCCCTTCTTTTCTCTCACCTAGTTTCCCTTTTAACTTCCCTTAACCCCGTTGAAATCCAAACACAGCATTAAAATAAGGGAAAAGATGAGATCTTGATCGAATCCGTACCGTCTTTGAGAGGGACGAGGCACTCGTAGGAGATCTCGAACTGGAACGGATTGAGAAACGCCGCAGGATTGTCGAGTACCGTCACGTTCGTGATGTTGACCGCGCTCATCTCGGAAACCCTAGGCCCCCAAAACCCTCATCAACGCCCCCACCAAAACCCTAGCCGCCAAAATCGCCAGAGATAGAAGAAGAAAGCGAGCGGAGGCGAGATGATGGAGATCGCAGCTGTTGATTTTGGCGGTTAAGGAATGAGGGAAATATGTAGATGCGGTCAGAATTGGCGGGAGAGTTTCGAAACTTTTGGGGTCCTTTTTTTTGGTGAAAGTAAAAGGGGTGGGAAAGGGGGATTCCGCTTTTGTGGTTGGGCTTGATAGAGAATTTTTTAGGGTTTTTATTGCGCACTCGGGCTCGGAGGAGAGGGAAGTAGACGCCGGGGGTGAGGGGTAGAAAAATAATTCCAGATTTAGGAAGGGATAAGAGTGCAAATTTTGTCAGATCACCCGCATGTAGGGCTGTCCAAAAAGCCCGCGGCCTGGGCCCGGCCCGGGTTTTTCCCGGACACCTGGGCCAGATCCGGGCCCGGGTCCAAACCCGTGAAAACACGACTGGTCAATGTCCGTTTTGGCCGGTCCGGGCCGGCCCGACCATAACGGTCAAAAATGGGGTTTTGACCGGCTAGAATATGAGGGTTTTTTGGTCATTTGCCTGGAAAACTGCATCTATAAATAGAGGGAAGTTTTCACTTCTTCTCCTCACAACAAAACTCATCTACTTCTCCCTATTACTCTCTTATACAATCTTATACTTTCTTAAAATCTCTTATATTTTCTAATACTTCTACCAAATGGCTTATGGATCTAATTATGAAGAGCAACATATATCTCCTACCGATCCAGAAATAAGTCCTCCTACAACAGCTACTTCTCCTACCAGTGTTAATCCTAAATCTGGTGACGACGAATTTGCACTCAAAGCTCCTAGAAGGCCGAGATCCGATGTGTGGAATTTTTTTGAGAAGATAGACGTCACCAATGATGAACACGATAGGATCATTACCCAGAAGGCTAAATGTGCGTTGTGCGGCCAGACTTTCCAAGCTCATCATAAAAAAGGCACCAACACTGTAGAACCCCGTAAATTTTTATATGAATATATATGAATTATTAGTAAATAAATAATTCTTAGTTAATAAATAGCTTGAGGTCATTGATGTACATGATAACAAGTTATTTGAGATGATATGAGAGTATGGGTGTAGAGTTTTGTGTGTTGGTTTTGCAAATAAGCAAAACATGCACAAAAACTGAAAATGTCCAGATCAGTCGACACATCAGTCGACTGACTGTATCAGTCGACACATCAGTCGACTGATGCGCTGATTTCTAGTTTTTACAGGTTTCGGGTCTGTTTTGTTTTGATTCGGGTTTGGGTCGGGTTTAAGGGTTCATATATAATCTCCTTCACCCGAAATCATCCCCTCTCCTCTTCAGACCAGAGAAACCCTAGCCCCCTCTCTTCTCTCTCAAACCCTAGGGTAGTTCTTGGTGATTTTGGGGCGAAATTGGAGGATTTTCGTCGCGGCGGGATTTTCAATTTGCAGCGAAAGGAATCACTCCCCCTCAGATCCAGGAGCTCTTCATCACCTCAGAGGCGAGTAACATCTCGCCCAACCTTGTCCCATTCTTTTTAAACGTTTTCAAATGGTTTTATTGAGATCTCTTTGGCCTAAAATGTATTTTGAGTACAAGGATTGGATTTTTTATTGCATGTAACATGAAGATGTGCATTTTCAGTTTAATAAATAACCTACCAATGTTTGGTAAATTTAAAATCCAGATCTGAAATGTTTTAAAAGAGATTTAACATGGGTTTTGTTTTGAAAAGTGTTTTTAAAACATAAATACTTATGTTTAGAGTTTTATTCATGTATATGTATGTGAAAGTTATGTTTCAGTTAGTCCATACATGTTAATATTCGTATGATTCATGCTTGGAATTGATGGGGATGAGTTTAGATCAAATTTTGGGTATATAAGAACCTGTACAGATTATCTGCAGTCTGTCGGTCGACTGATCAGTCGACCGACGGGCAAATTGTTCAGCCATCAGTCGACTGATCAGTCGACTGACGGGCTGATTCTGCTTTCTCAGCTTCTCGGTCGACTGGTCAGTCGACTGGCGAGCTGAGGCTGTGCTGTCTGAGCTCCATCAGTCGACGTATGAGTCGACTGACGTCATCAGTCGACACATCAGTCGACTGATGAGCTGTTTTACAGATTCTTGATCTGTTTAAGTTGTCTTTCGGGGTCGCCTCGGTAACCTGACCCTAGTTTATCACGTTAATGATTTATCTGTGCATGTGGGTTGACTTTTGACATGAGTTTAGACATGTACATCGGGATGCGTGCGGGTTTAGATTTGGTGTATTTTTACATGTATGCAAGTGATAAATTACATTTCCTTCATTTATAGTCTACGTGTTGGACAATACATTATTCTGATCCATGTGTTGGATACTTACCATCTTGGTCCATGTGTTGGACATGCATTCTATTCAGTCCATGTGTTGGACCTACATCACTTTTAGTCCATGTGTTGGACATTTTTGCCAAACCTTGAGCATGGTACACATTTGAGTTTTGGAACACGACTTTTTGATACCGTTAAGACATGATAGCTACCTAGACTGGGAATGACACTTATGTAGAATACGACTTGATATTTTATGGCATGGGACACCACATGATACTCTACTTATGTTCTGAGATGGGTTGTCTTTCCTTTTATTTATTTTCTGTTCACGTATTAGACTCCGGGTTTGGTACTTAGGGATTTTCAATTTGGGATACAAGGTATATATATGAGGGTTTCCTTGTTTGGATTATTTCGCTCGACGTACCTATGCCCGTGTTGAAACTTCCTAAGTACTAAAGCCCATTGTTCATTTCTAGGATAATTGCCTATATATATATCTATATATATGTTTTGTGATAACTGTATTTTCTTATACAACGAGCCCTATTCCCTTGGGGTTGGTTGTGATGTTGCTCGCTAGCGCTTGACGCTCGTTGTCCCTCCCCCTTTCAGGTAACGAGCCAGGAGCCCGGAGAGTCGCAGGTTGATGGCGACACACCTTAGTGTTTAGCTGTCTAGTTCTGTTCATGTTGGAGCTCCATTGTAGTTTTTATTAGACATTTGACAGTATTGTTCTAGAAGTTGTAAAGGCTATGTGCCTTATTTCCTTCTTGTCAGACATTTGTATATGAGACTTGTTGAGTATTCCAGATTTATCTACTCAGATTTTGGCTATGTATTTCTGTATTGTTGGATGATGAGATATTTATGTGACTGTTATCATTTCATCAGTATTCCTTGTATAACCTTTTACCTGTTTTGTACCTACACCAGTTATTGATTCTACTAGACAGATGTTAATTGTGATGGTGAAACATGTTATTGCACGGTGTGGTGCATGGCAGGTTTGACATTCTTGGTTTCACCTTGGACTGCAGCCTTGTGTGAACCCAGGGGCGTCACAGTTGGTATCAGAGCTCTAGTTCCAGTATCCTTAGGATCATCCTGTGTCGAGTCGTGGAGCTAGGACAGAGTTTCCTAGGATTCATGTATAGAGTCCGTAAGGATTTCCTAGTATGAGTGAGGACGACTTATGCGTATACCTCAAAATTTGAGGAAATTTTTTTTTATGATAACTATTTTGCAAATTTAAAGTATTTTGTGTGAATACTATATGTTGTGAAGATTGTATTGTGATACGCTATTTATAGAAGTTTATTTTGACTCATAAACTTTTATTTTCTTATGATCAGATAGATGTCAGGACGTGGTAGACCTCGTACCAGGAGAGCTACCCAGGCGGAGTCACAGCAGACTCCATCAGAGCAGCAGCCAGCTCAGTCCGAGCCTCAGCAGGCACCACCAGGGCCGCAGCAGGCTCCTCAGTACTTAGTGGATCTTATGGCTCCTCTCATTGCCAGGATGACGGCCATTGAGGACTTGGTGACGACTCATATAGCACCACGGACACCTCCACCACCGGTAGCTCAGCAGCAGGGGATACCTACCGTTCCTGTCAGAGAGAGACCCCCAGAGGTCACGCCTGCAGCTATTCCTCTAGCAGTCCCAGACAGAGCCACCGAGCAGGAGGCTTGGCTCCGTATGGTTGAGAGGTACCAGAAGATGAGAGCACCCGAGTTTCAGGGATCACCAGACCCTCTGGCAGCCCATAAGTGGAAGGAGGATGTGAGCAACATTCTCGACATACTCAGTGTGGACTCAGTTCAGAAGCAGAGGTTGGCATCCTACAGTCTGAAGGGTGATGCTGGGAGATGGTACCGACTTCAGTTCCCTCCAGAGCAGAGGATGACCCTCACATGGGAGGACTTCATATATTTCTTTGATGGGCAGTACATTTCCTCTGCAGCACGGACAGGGAAGGAGCTCGAGTTATCCCGTCTGACCCAGGGGGACATGTCAGTTGCTGATTTTGAGAGCCGGTTCATGGAGCTGTTACATTTCACAGGCATGTGGCAGACAGGAGAGCGTCAGGCTCAGATGTTCTTAGCAGGGCTTCGCCCTAATCTCCGTCGGTACCTCATCTCGAGGAAGTTCTATTCAGTTAGGGAGGTAGCTGAGGC